ACTCTTTCCTGCTCAGGGCAAGGGGGTTGGACTTGATGATCTACTGAGGTCCTTTCCAACCCTAAAAATCTATTAAATCTATGCATGTAGGCAAATTATTATGGGTACCTGTAGACTTAGTTCATCTAGAATTGGTGTATTGCACCTTTTTTGAAATAGCTGCAAGTTTTAGCATAGGTACTCCATAAACACACATTTAAGCAGCACTTCTGTACCTACTTGGATATAGTACAAACTACGCATGATACTAGCCCAAAGCCAAAAGACTCACAACTTACCTTATGTTTAGTTCATTGGGCTGGACGCCAGCAGAGTCAACCGTGTTTTAAGCCATGGTGATCCCACAGCTCAGCGCTGCTCAGTTACTTCAGATACATACCTCCCCCCCCACAAAGAATCCATGTGTGGAACTGGGGTTCTTGTAATGGGTCCTGGGATCCTCCAAACATTTCTGTGCAAATGAGGCACAGAGCAACCTGGTCTGGTTCCAGAAATCTCCCAGCAGGGGACTCCCTGGGTGCTTATTGCACTGCTGTGCCCCAATTCACAGTGTGCTTCTGTGAGTGAGAGAACCCCAGGTTCCCACTGGCAGATGCTTGCCCCAGGAACCCCCCAGGTGGCATTTTATGGACACATGCATCTCATTGCTGCAGTTCAAGTTGGGGTGTGCCACTGCAGTTGTGGGAGTCCCAGTTTCCTTACTTGCAGACATGTGCCCTTGGAATTCCCTAGTATTCCCTAGATGCCTATTATGCTGCTGCCCCCCAACTTGAGGTACACCTCTGCAAATGAGGGAATCCTGGGCAGGTCTTCCTGGGGCTTCAGGAAGCACACATTCCTAGAGTTTTCCCATTTGGCAGAACTGTGCCCTGAATCATGGTGCGGCAACAGGGTATGCACATCTGGGACATCCCTTGCTGGGGACAGGTGATGTCTGTGTTACCCAGTGAAGCAAATCAGCTGTGTTGGGATGTGCCCTGGCACAGCTGATTAGCTTCATTTTGGTGACATCTGTTCACAGCCTGTGGGTCTTGTGTCCAGATATACATACAGATGCTTGCCCATCTTTCCCAGTGTAGATGCAGTTACATTGGTACAAAGGTACTTATTACTATTCTTCACTTCTGTATACAAAGCTACACTGTTCATATGTGTCAGTATAACTGGATAACTAGGCATAGAACCACTGTAATTATTTTTGAAGAAAAATAATTCTTAAATGAAATAATTATACCCATACAAAAGCCATGTGTTCACCAAGCTGAGGGTAAAATGCATTTTAAAAACACATTGCCTGTTATATTTTAACTTTTTGAAAGCCCATGGCATATTAAGCTGAACTTAATATGCACATAATATAGCATATTAAGCTGCACTTAATATGCTAGCCACTAAGGATAAGGGGGTCTTCTGTTCCAATCGCATGAAAAAGTAACTTGCCTTGTTTATGCTGGGTTTTTATAAATTTGTTAGGCATGTTTTAAAAATATGTACTTTATTTTAATCTGGTTCTGTTCAAGAAGTCCTTTAGGAAAATTGAGGAATACCATCTTTGATGGATCTTATTTCCATGTTTTAAAAAGATACATTTTTTAGGAAACAAAACAGAGGTTCCTGTTGTGGCATGTCATATAGAAACCAAAACGGAACAGGTTGATTTCTATTTTGCTTTTTCAGTTCTGGTCTGTTTTACGTTTTGGTTACAGTGCATTTAAGGGCTTTTTTTATTAAAGTAAATACGAAGTACTTTTGTGCATTTTACATAACTGCTTTAAGGCTAGTTGGAGATAGTGATTTCCTTTCTCTCTGCTCCCTCCCCCAGTGTCTTAAATTCTCACTTTTTCACCTTGTTTACTTCTGTGGCAAGCAGTAGGGTTTGCAGAAACCTCTGGTACAGCAAGATGACTATGTTTGATACTCCTGTTTTCTGAAAAGTATTTTGATGTAAAGATTTTGATAGGCCATAACATCTTTGAAATGTGACCTGTATACTCACTGGATTAAGTTGAAATGTAGTTTCTAGCATCTTACAGTAGACCCAAATTCAGATTAAGTAGCGCAGTCAACCTGCTGTCAAGTTCTCAGGGAAGCTGATAGTCTAGTAAAAGGGTTTGAAAAGGTTTATTTTGATATGGGGATTCACATTTCTTTCCTGGAAATTAGCAAGTATAGTGCATGCAGTAGAAACTTCTCCATTTCTATCCTGTGAGATGCTGTATTTGTTGACCTAGAGCAGTTATGTTGTCAGAATTGAATTGCTGGCTCTTCAAATTTTTGAACAGCAAGGACTGTTAATGATATTTTTATATCTTTTTTTTGTTTGTTTTAGACTTACCATCTCTCAGGTGTTGTTGGTTGCATTTATTATGTCTTCGAGTCTCTAGCAGACTGGGAACTGATCCCGGCTCCTGTTTGTTTGTATAAATATAATCACTGCGAATCATCTCTTTCCCAATAATGTTTTGATCAGAAGAGAGAGGCTGGTATATTTCTACAAATTCAATTTAGGCCAGCAATTATAGACATGATGAATACATCCAGTGCATGTATATAAGTTAAAACATGAAGAAACTCTTTCATAAATTTCCGTGTAATTGCAAGGGTGTTGGTTGTAACCTTGTTGGTCTAAGGACATAGGCAGACAAGGTTCTTTGGATAAATCTGATATCTTTTATTAGACCAGCTAAAATAGTCAAAAAAATTATTTGCAAGCTTTCGGGTATAAACACCCTTCTTCAGGTACAGGGAGTGTAATGTAATTGCAATGAATTAGACTACTTTATTGGTTTTAATTGGAGAATTTACTTTTCAGCAAATGCATGGTCTAAATTGGCAGTGTGTTCCCAGTAGCTTTTAACAGAACTAAATCAGAGTTCCTAGGCAGGTCAAAATATGAGCTATTCTTAAACAGCGAATAAGTAAAATGAAAATATGTATGGATTTATGGATTATAGCGATCCCATTCTTTAAATGTAAATTAAGTATTTACTGTACTGTGAGCACCTGTTGATTACATTCATTTATGATTACATTTAATACAGATGTACTGGAACTACTGTTTAATTCATACAAATACACTTTAATACAACATTATTTAAATCCTTAGAAATGAAGCTTAAAGTTGAATGTTGTCTTTCTGTACGTCTCTGTGCCCAGTGACATTGTAAAAGTGTTTCTGTATTTAGTAGTTTTTAGATGTAATGGTAAAAAGATTGTTCTGATTATAGTTGTATAGTAATTTTTTAAGAGGTAAAGTTAAGTTAAGATTCTTACAGAAATATAACTGTAGGTTGCTATGTAGCTTTGTTGTGCCTCTTAAATTAGTAGCTTAATATAGTTCAATTTTGTTTTCAAATTCATGTTACTATAGTTTCCCTAACTTTTTTCTTAACTTCTACCAGAGCAGCCTCATCCTTACTTGGATGTGGTTAAGCAAATTAATACTGTATAAATTGATTACAATCAATATTCTTTCAACAAACCAAGAACAGCCCTCATATTTGGGGAGGGAAAGGACTACTTTTCTTCTAAAATGTATATTCCTGTTTTGTGGTGATCACAAATTTTAAAAAATGGTCAAATCAGGAAAAGCTAGGACATTTAGAAAAAGGTCTACTTAAAGGAAGAAACTTAAGGTATGGACAGGCAGAAAAACTCTATTGAGGAGTGGGGGATAACTTGTCATCCATCAGTCTGATTCACTATAACTGAATGCTTGCTCTATCTCAGTAAATGGAAACTGAACTGCAGTAATTTAGCAGCTGTTTCATTCAGGAGTAAAATACTGTGGTTGAGCTTCTGTTTACTGTGGAATAGAGATGACATACAAAACAGTTAAATGTGGTAAGACTCTTTTTCTCCCTACCCCCATCCTCCATTCTCTTTTTAATTTGGCATGATTGTTTCATCTTTGTATAGCTTATTGTGTTTCTCAGGCTCCTCTGTGGTTAGTAGGTACTGGATTCAGGGCTGCAACTGGCATATTTTCCCTTACTCTTTCATTTACCCTTTAAACATAGTGATGATAATTGCATAAAGGCAGCTACATTTAGTAAAAAGAAATGCAACTTTTGAACCTGCATTAATTGAATCTTTGCTGTTTTGATCAGGAGATCAGCAAAATCCCGCAGCAGAAGCCCTTACTCATCAAGGCACTCAAGGTCTCGGAGCAGGCACAGATTATCTAGATCCAGAAGTCGTCACTCAAGCATTTCTCCTAGTACACTGACTCTGAAAAGTAGCCTGGCTGCTGAATTGAACAAGAACAAAAAAGCTAGAGCTGCAGAGGCGGCCAAAGCCAGTGCAAAAGCATCAAACACCTCTACGCCTACTAAAGGGAATTCCGACACTGGCGCAATGCCGACACTGGCGCAAATGCACCTCAAACAAACAATGTGAAGGATCTGAAGAAAATAAAAACTGAGCATACACCTTCTCCTACTATTGGTGCAACTTTGAAAAATGACAAGGCAAAAGCAAAGGTAACTCTTCAGGAGACAAAGGCAGAAAATAACTCGATTGTGGATAAAGTCACCAAGCAGAAAACTACACTAGTGAAAGAGACTAAACCAACTGCTGTAAAACAGCAACCAGTCACTGTAAAAGAGAAAAGCAAACCATCTACACCAAGTGTAGTAGCCAAGGAAAAGGACAGAAATGTTGCACTACCAACCTCCACATTGCCACCCTTGCCTTTGCCTCCAATGCTGCCTGAAGACAAAGATACTGACAGGTGAGTTTGATGCACATTTTTAATACATGTTTTCAAGTAGAAATGTGCTTTTCTGTGGGCCTGATTCCAGCGTTTAGATGAAGCTTATGGTAGTTTTTTTCTGTTTTTCCATAGTTTAATTTAACATGATAATGATTAGTGACTTGCAGGATTTGAGCTTAATAGTAAGAGAACTAGTTTACTCAAGGAGTTGAGATGGGGAAAGGTTTAATTCTAAGAGGTATTTGTGAATACAAGCTATGCTGGAGGGCAAATGGAAAAGCAGAGGTGGTTGGTGGTTTTTATAAGAGTATAAATAGACAGCTAATTGAGATCTCAGAACAGCAGCATTTAAAATATATAGTAACAATATTTGAAAGCTAGTTTTTTCATAACTTATTTGCTATTGTTTTGTATTCCAAGCTCTTTCTCCTCTGACAGCTATTAACATCACTAACACCTATAGTAGTGTAATGAATGAAACTCCTAACTCTTTCAAGGATTGGTATTATTCCAAGTGCTTGCATATAAAGCATCTTCAGTTCATTTCTGAAGTGAAGATGAGTTACAGAAACAGAGATGTAACTGGCCAGGGCATGGTGTGGGAGAAGTGGTCAGAGGTTCGCTGCTGCTGCTAGGGAAGATGTCACCTTTTATTTTGCCACTGATATGCATGTCAAAGGGCCAAAACCCCATTAGTTTAAAGCAGCAAAAAAGGAGCTGACTTATCCAGCAGCAGCAGCAAACCACTAGCTGCTGCTTCTGTGCTGTGCACTACTGCCATTTCCTTGCATTTTGTGCTGCTGGAGCTGTTGTGGGAAACACGCGTGGGAATGGCAGCAGTAAAGCATCACCCAAGGTCCATTCTGCACCTCCCCCAGTCTCTTAAGGCAGTTTCTGGGGCTTATGCCTCACCTCCCTACCTATCATTATACTACTGTACAAAAATACAGCATGTCCATAGCGAAGAAATTCCTGTGTAGGTCTCAGACATCTTCTGGAATCTAGATTTTATTGCAAAGTTTTATAGCCTTAAGATAAAAACCTTACTGTGATCTATATTGGAATTGAAATCTGTCACACTTCCTGGTTTTTTGATGAAATTTGGTCTGGAGGACGTATTCCAGTATTACCCTCTTGTGAGTTATGTGATTTAATGTTAGAATTTTCAGCTTGCTTGTAGTTTTATAAGATCAGATACAGAAAACTAGTAGGGAAAAAAAAATCAGGATAACATTTGAAAGCATCCCTTTTTATATGCTCAGCATTCAGGCTGCAGTGATAACATAACTTAAAAGTGCTGTACAGCTATATACAGACTTTCTTCAAGACTTCAACAGCTAAAAGGAAACACAAAGGCTTATGTAGTATTTTATCTTTTGTTCTTGGTAGCTATTAAACTTCACCTATCTTTTGAAAATGTAGTAGGAGCCCATACACGCATGTTGTCTTTGCCTTGTTTTGTTTTACTGTCAAAAATTAGTAAGAGCTCAGACCCACATGTTTCTTTCTATTAAACTGCTTGCTTAAAAAAATATGACAACAGATCTTAGCCAACAGAAATGCAGTCTAAGTGCCTGGCTGACTTTTTATATAGTAGAAAATACATGGATTCTTCTGAGGAAAAGAAACAAAAGAATTCAGTTCACTTTTGCAGAGCTGAATTTATACAGTGAATATAGGAAGGGGGGTAGTTCTGTTGTGTATCCTTCTAAGGCAGTGGCAAAGCTCCCCTTAGTTTCAGCAGGATCAGTGCTCTGGAGTAGTAGCTTGAAAATATGAGTTGGGAGGGGAGCAGGAATTGGGGAGGACACAAAGCTATAATGAGCCCTTCCAATTCGGTAGCATTGGTTATTGGTGGGGGAAGTGCGATTTCTTCTGATCCTGCGTGAATAGTAACATTTTTCCTCAATGAGACATCTGAATAAGGTTTTATAATTTATTCAAGCTATCTGAATTTCTGGAACTGTCATACTAAAGATAATCTGGTTAGTAATAGAAGTAATACCAATCCAGCAAAGATAGAGGTTGAACCACACTGATTCAGCAAAAGATAAATGGACTGGTTTCCTTTAGTATCAAACCTCGCCATTTGCCAGTCATAGAAGGAAGAAGCTGTTGTAGCAGGTCAAGGCCTCTGGCAGTTTTGTGCAAAGACGTTTGTCTCGTGCAATATGTCAGCCATATTTGAAGGTTAAACGAGAGGGTATTGCAGAGCATGCCTGCCTCAGCCTGTTCTACCTATGTGGTATCGGGATGCGTGCTCAGACTTTGAACAAGAACTGATATGTTTACAAACTGTTATAAGCTTAAGGCTACTAGTCTAAAATGAAGTCAAAGAAAAATGTTTTGTTTCAGAAAGAGGTATTTTACCTTGGGCATGCAACCCATCTGAGAAGAATTTTCACTGACAAAGAAAACCAAGGCTTCCTAGACGGGGCCTCACTTAGGTTATACACTCGTGAAGACAAATTTTGATTTTGGGAGTGTTTCAACACAGTAGGAGATTGTGGGGATCCACAAAAATTATATTGGGTGTTGAACTGTTTCAACCATCTAGTCAGACTGTCAGTGTTTTGTTTAGTTAGTTTTGGAAAAAAAATCAGTAAAGAGATTAGGATAGTAGTTGGTGAGATCATTCATGAACCCTTTCACTGGTTTTATTTTGGTCATGACATCATAATCCCAAAGAACCTATTTGAGATCATTCCTGGAGAAGAACCAATTGGTTTGCACCATGTGGGCCTCATGGAAACCCTAGAATCTAAACTTGAAAGAGCTCATACTTTTGTAAAGGAAAAATTAAGCATAGGCACTGATAAAATAAGAAGACTCTATGGTGCATGATTTTATGGGGAAACTTTTAAGATGGAAGACCCAAAATGGTTTTACAATTCTAGGAGAAGGAAGGGGTAGAAGCCTTAATTTGGATAAACATGGGTGGATACAATACTGATATGGCTGAAGTGCCGTTTGGGATACGGTTAATACCCGTGACTAAATTCAGAGTTGTTTGTAAGGATCATATGAGAAGAATTTATATGGATTCACCTTAAACCATTAAGATAGCTGTGGAAACTGAGTCTGGAAAAATTGTGAGTGTAATGTGTTTCGTCAGTTGAATTGAAGGGCAAGTCTGGTCCCAGAGAGCAGATTCCACAGAAACACTAGGCATTCCTCAGTGGATCGATGAGATAAAGCCTCCAAGGTGGTTGAAAGGAAATCTGGCAGAGAAGTAACAACTACCAAAAGATTTAGAAGAAAGTCAAACTGGTTTAGTTTGTGAAAATATCCTGGTGCACATAAACAAGATGAATATTCTTATCTTTGTTTGTGGTGGGTTGTTTAGGATTTCACTAGTTTGATGACTGGCCAAAGCTAAAACAGATTTGACCCAACAGGGATGACAATATCTCTTTGCTGAGAGTAGGTGTAACAAGAAGCCTTTAAGCTCTCTCCTGTAGGCAGGCAGGTAGTTTCATAGACATTAGGGGCTGGAAGTGACCTCTTGAGATCATAGAGTCCAGCTCCCCTGCCCCCACTGTAGGCAGGAAGTCAACTGGGATCACATGATCCCAGCAAGAAAAATATCCAGATTTTTTTGCAAGAGTCCTGAGTAGGCACCACGTCTGAGGGGAGTCTGTTCCAGACCCTGGACAGGCCTTTCTTCTTAAGTCTACTCTGAATCAGCCTTCCTAAAGTTTATGGCCATTTGACCTTGTTGTCCCTTGGGGAGCTCTGGTGAACAGGTGTTCTCCCAGGTCCTGATGTACCCCTTTTATGTAATTGTAGGCTGCCACCAAGTCCCCCCTGAGCCTTCTCTTTTCCAGACTGAAGAGTCCCAGGTAGTTGGAACAATAGCAGTCTAAACCCCATACATGAGCACAAGTCCACATCCAGAACAAACGTGTTTTCAAAGTACATATGGGCAGAGAGGTTTTTCTGGCCATTTTGAAGATGCATGTTTCTGAAAGAACCCACAGTACCAAAGGAACTGAGAGTGAGCAAGGGAAGCACCATGTACATGAGCACTGCTCGGAGCAAAAGCTAAATGGGAGAGCTTTGAGCTGATTGTTAGCTAAAAGAGGCTTGGAGCTCTGAGTGAAGATTGTCCTCCTTTTTGCTGCTTCCTGTGTTTGTGGGGCAGCACCCTAATTCGTCGTCAACAAACATAATTGCATAGAAGCGGCCTGACTCATGACCAGTGTCGTCTTTCTTTCTAACCTTGGCTAACTGGTCATGTCAAAAATAGAGAAGTGTACCTGTCAAGTAGCATATTTGGTTAGGTTTTGTCTTTTATTTTCTAATAGTTTAGGGCATTGGTGCTCAAACTTTTGGCTCTGCAGGTCAGATGAGTGGCATGGGGCTGAACCCCGGGCTGAATTGGGCCCCAGGGGCTTCTCCCTCCCACCCTGCACACACCATGAATGGGCCCCAGGGGCCTGGCGCTGCTCCCTCCTGGCCTTATGCACTGGTATAGGCAGCCTGAGCCAGGATCCAGGGCTCAGGTCTCCTCACAGATTTGGAAATATGGTGGCAGGGGAGTGATGTTGCTGCTCCCCCACTGCCAATTTCCAGACCCACAGAGAGCCCCATGGGCCAGATCTGGCCCATGGGCCAAGGGTTGGGCACCCCTTATTTGGGAGGACTCTTTTAGTGAGTACTGACAACTTAAAAATAAAACAATAAAAATGACTTTGACTTCCTCTTGTAATTTGTTTGTTTGTTTATAGTAATTTGTTCCTGTTTAAACCTTTTTCTTTTTTCCTAAATATCTGAAACACTTTGAATTCAAAATATTTTGTAACTGTGTGTTGGGCTCCAAAGGGAAACTGTATACTTTAAAACTTTTTGTGTATATCACATTGCACTAAGTAAACAAACTGAATAATTTTCCCTTGCTTATTTCTTTCATAGTAATTTGAGATGATGGAAGTAACGGCAGTGGGTAACACATTCAGAGGGTAGTGTGAACTACGTAAAAGTTACAAGGGTGTAGGTTGTAGCTGTGTTGGTCTAAG